TGTGAGAGCGCTAACAAAGCTCTTCTGTAGGGCTAACAGAGCGCTAACAAAGCGCTTCTGTAGCGCTAACAGAGCGTTACTGAAGCGCTAACCGAGCGTTAGATCACGCGCTACAAAGCGCCACATGAGCGCTCCTTCGAGCGCTCACGTAGCGCTAACTTAGCGCTTCGCTGTATGTGTGAACCGGCCTTTAGGGTGTCACTAGAAACCTTCCTAAGTTTACTGGAGTCACGAGTCAACACTAAGAGGTTCATTCTCCAAGCATCGGCTCGAATCTTCCATATCATTGGTCTAATTGCGCCATTCACGATTCTGGGAACAAAATATATTATGGGACGCTGAGGTTCCTGTGGAGATCAGCAATGATTGGAGCACGTGGTGCGACGAACTTGATCAGCTTCAAGCACTCGCCATATCCCGATTCCTATTCCACGAATTGTGAGGATTAGAGCGGTCTACCTTACTGCATGTGTTCACGGATGCCAGTCCTAAAGCATACGGTGCTGCAGTTTACATTCGATCATCTGACAATGAAGGAAACGTCGATGCTCGTCTATTACTAGCAAAGGTTCGTGTTGCCCCACTCAAAAGGCAAACGCTCCCACGGTTAGAGCTGATAGGAGCACTCATCGGAGCTCGGCTTTTGAGGTACGTCCAGAAGACGTTTGACAGAGAAGACTTCATCTGCTACATGCAGACAGATTCTACGATTACTCTGAAGTGGATCCAAGGAAAACCGCAGCGTTGGTAAACGTTTGTCGCAAATCAAGTTTAAGAGATTCAACGGCTGACAGCAAATTCCCACTGCAGGTATTTTCCAGGAAAGGAAAATCCGGCCGATTTTTTCACTAGGGAAATTTCTGCCTAAAGAATGAAGGCTGCCCAAGCTTGGTGGGAAGGTCCAGTGTGGCTCCAGAGACCCATTTCTGAATGGCCCTACCACTGCTTTGAAGAAGCTCAGGTGGAGAAGGAAGATTGCATACCTGCTGCGGTGCTACCAGCTAGAACGAGTTCTTTCGAGTTGTTGTTCGACTCCATTGTTACAGCAGTCTGCAGAAGGTAATCCGAGCTACTGCATGGATACCTCGTTTTACGAACAGCTGTTCAAACGAAAAGCTGTCAGCAAATCACCTCTCAGCGGACGAAGTAACCCGAGCAGAACTGTACTGGATCACACATGTTCAAAACACGGTATTCTCTGAAGAGATAGCTTACTAACAGAAAAACGGCAAGTAAGTAAAAGCTAAAAGATCGCCGAGCTGAATCCGTTTCTTGATGACAAAGGAGCGTCGCGAGTAGGCGGAAGGCTCCCAGAGTTGCGTTCCACAGAAGAAGTAAAACATCCTCTCATTCTACCTGCCAACCACCGCCATAGCGGAGTAGATAATCTTAAGTGCACGCATCCGAGTTCTACACAGAGGAGCTGCAGAGACACTAAAGCAACTGCGCAAAAAATGTTGGCTTATTCCAGGCAAACAACTGGTATAGAAGAGTATACACAAATGCCCAACATGCTCTAGATATCGGCTCAAGCCACTCTCAGCAGCTACAGCTTGTCTACCTGCTGATCGCATCGAGCCCACAAACCCTCTTGAGATAGTGGAAGTCGACTTTGTAGGCCTTCTTTATACCAAGAGCAGATTCCGAACAAAGTTTTCATAGCTTTCTTTACGTGCGCAGTGACAAGAGCGGTCCACCTTGGAAGTCATATCAAGCATGTCTTCCTAGACCTTTTTATTAACACTACGTCGTTTTGTGGCACGAAGAGGTCTGCCAAAGGTCATCTACTCGGACAACGTTCTCACCTTTAAAAGGTTGTTTAAAGACATCAAGTAGGTATTGACAGCCTTACGCGCACCAGGACGTTCAAGATTACGTTGCCCACAACCAGATAGCCTGGAAATTTAGCGCTGAACGGGCAGCCTGGTGGGGAGCTGTTTGGGAGAGGATGTTTCATAGAGTGAAGTCCTGCCTTAGAAAGATTGTTGGACGAAGTTCACTAAACTTCGAAGAGCTCACCACTGTAATGCGAAAAGTCGAGGCTGCGGTGAATTCAAGACAGGTGACGTTTATGCATTGAGAGCACGACCAGCCAAGAGCCTTAACTCTTGCTCATTTCTCGATCGGCAAGCGACTCACAGCATTGCCGTTATCCAAAAACGCCGAGGCGCTGCAACGAAGGGCAGACGAACTCTCAAAACGCTGGAACTACCGACAACTACTAGATGCACAGTTTTGGAAAATATGGATGGCCGACTACCCTCTGCAGCTTCGTTCGGCACATCATGCGAAGTCAGAGGAAAATAATGATCTAAAGGTCGGAGACATCGTAATTATTCATGAGCCAATGCGTCCTAAAACGATGTGAAAACTGGGACGGATAACGGAATTGCATGCAGGTCGGGATTCCCTCGTTCAATCATGCGACTTGTATTTGGCAAGTAGACAAATACTACGACCGCCAGTACAACTGCTTTATTCACTCGAGGTGCCTCGTTGTCCCCTTGAGGCGGCAGCCTGTTGAATATTTTCAACAGCGATCGGTCAGAGAGAGAAGACGACGACGATCACGAAAGCCACTTTAAAAGCACGCATCCATTTTTTTTTTTTTTTGCTTATCTATTACAGTGCGATCCAGAAACGGGCATCGTCCCATTAAACCCATTTTCTACGATTTAACCAGTAATATTGTCCAGTTATTTTACAAATGCATCATATCTACTTTGAGGTTTAGCACTGTTTGAACTTGACTTTTTAGAGAGTGAGGTTGGCTTGTTTAAAGTGTTGCGTAAAGTACTATCGTGGACACTGTTAGCTATAACACGGCAGCGGCGGCCGTCCCGTACCCCCAGCGCCCCATAGCAGGCGCCGTCCGAAACTCCGCGCATACGCCGTGTGGTGGACTGGCTCTTCCCGTTTGCGAGCACACCCTCGCTTTGTCGTCTGCTAGGCGCAGAGCAGGCGATGCCACAGTGCTGCTTGTCTGGTACCCTCGCCATAGCGAACTGGTCGCAAACTTATTTTCAACCGGCGATTTTTATTTGGGCAGATTGCAAAGTCATTAGGGCACTACCCCTGTTTAAGTTCTTTTTTTTTCGCTTTTTCAGAAACAGGCGTGCGCAATGCATTTTTACCAATATGCGTTCGCAAACCAGCATGAGCGCAGCAGGTGTGATAAAAAAATAGACTGTTATACTCCGTTTCACCTTAAGTCCGACCGCAGCGTACGCTGCAAAACGACAGAGCCAATCAAATAGCGGCAAAGGCGCAACATCACGGAGTGCATCACCGGGGGACCCAATAAGGTGCAAAAAGTAATTTTGTCGCTGCTTGGTTGGTCCTATCGTTTCGTAGCGTCCTTTGCGCTTAGACCTAAAGTGAAACAGAGTATAACTGCAAGTTTGTCCTATAAAAAAAATTATTTCACCGTGATGTTACATTTAGTGGCGATGATTATCCTTAGCCTGCGGAGTCAGGGAATCAACCGTGGGCACCTCTTACGCTGTTGTTCGCTGAACCGTGTTCAGCGAAAATTGGCGAGCGCTGTGGCGTCGTCTGCTCTGTGCCTAGCAGACGACAAAGCGAGGATGTGCTCGCAGGCGGGAAGAGCGAGGCCGCCACACGGCGCATGTGCGTAGTTTTGGACGGTGCCTGCTATGGGGCGCTGGGGGTACGGGACGGCCGCCGCTGCGGTGTTATCTAACAGTGTCCACGATAGTACATCTAAACAGTACTTGAAGTAAAGTACAAAGTAAATTAGAGGTTATGTACTTCAAGTAAAGTAGTAAGTACGCCGGGTGCAATGTACTTGAAGTAACGTACTATAAATACAGTATATTTCAAGGCAAAGTACAAGTGCTTTTACCGCAATCTTTCATGACGCCCTTTCTATTCCCTATAGTGTTCTTTGTTTTAATAGGTATGCACTGCTCCAGGGGCAGTCGGAGGTGCATCAGTTTTTACAGAAATGGCAGCAAATAATGTACAAAATCAAGTCGCCACAGAGTAGTTCTTTTACTCTCGCTGACGAACTATTTGACACAATCAACTTATAAGCCACTTATTTGTGTCGGTCTTATAGCCGCCATTACTTCACTTAGAGAAATGACCTGATGACGTCTCGAAAGAGCGCGTTTTCACACTACGATACGCCATTTTTTGTTTTCAAATTCGATGAATGTACATTGAAGTCGGGAGTTTAACTTTCCTCGAAAAGTACCAGAAAAAAAAAAACACTTTAGTAAAGTGCAAGTACATGCTCAGAGAATGTAAACACGTTGAGGGAATTACTAAGATTTCTCGAACGATCTTCAAATCTTTGAAGACCTGCATGTTCTGAGTTTTCGGAGGAAAGGCAACGCAAAACGATCACCTTTGCGTTGCCCTTTAGCACGCGATTCTTGAAGTAAAGCACAAACTACGGGAGCACCAGATGAGCTTCAGAGCAGGCGCTGCATTTTGTGGGCTGTTTTGGGCGAAGATGCATTGTGTGCACCTCCTGTAGTGGGCGAAACTCGGCCTCTCTTGTGCCATGTCTGTTCGCTCCCCGCGGCTCGTAGCAGTGTTGTTGCAGTGAGGGGCTCATGGGCAAAACAGATAATAAAATTGGAAAGTAAGTTGTAATTTGAAAAGAAGTTACTCGTAAAAATAATCAAAGTAAACTACTAATTGGCAAAATAAGAATTAACTGAAAGTTACTAAGTGACTCAGAAAAGTAGTTAAACTATAGTAGCTTTAGTAGAGTAGTTGAACTACGTACAAGAAGAGTGAAGAAACACGCCCTAGAGAGTGCCTGCAGGCTGCCTTTGTGTGTGATGTATTAGGAGTAAAACCGCAGCTTCAGGGCGCGACGCCGCCCACCTTACTCATTGGCTAGACGGATCGAAGGTAAGCCGATGATTGGCGTTTTCAGAGCATTGCGGGTACGTATATACTTACAAAAATTCCTGAAAACGCAAAAAAAACAAACAAAAAAAAACGCAAGATTAATTTTTACGTACTAGAGCAACGTTCTGGTACTTCCCAAGTGCTGGATTCAGCTCAGGATAGGACGGGCTGGCGCTGGAGCAAAGAAAAGCCGAAAAAGCAGTCGCTGCGAACAAACCGCTGAACATGGCGGACATAGTGCAGTCCTTTCACAAAGGCTACTTGTCCTGTGAATGCTACATAGTATATAACAGTGCCGAGTTTTATGACCGAACTCTAAGTCACACTTTAATTTCTCTGTTCCATCGAGGCCAGGAAATGTAAAATGATAATGAGCTGGCCAAAGTCTTTTTTCTTTCTTTCTTTTTTTTTTTTTTTTTTTTTTCTTGTCGATAGAGCTTTTTGAACAAAATGTTTTTTTACTTGAAGTCATAATTTTATTTAGTTCTACTTTGAACTATGACCAGTTTAGGTATGTTTGTGTGAGGCATCAGGATGAGGGTTCGACATTTTCTGTCGAATGCTTCAAAACATCCCGTAGTTAACGACGACTAACCCGTGTCGGTGACCCTCAGGTTGTAACTTTGTGAGTTAAAGAACCAAGACTGAACCATTCGAATTTACTCTCCTCGGGAAAAATGCTGCAGCTGTCATTTCGCTATAGTTGAAAGACCTCTTGTTTTCAGTGGTACAACCTCTACCAAGAAAATCGTCTCATTGAAACTGCCTTCCAGCACCTCTGATAAATACCGTTCATTGAACTCCCACGTGCAAACTAACGCTTTGGGCGGTCCGCAAATAATCGGTTTCTAAACGTAACGCGTTGGGGTTTACTGCAGAGGTGCTCAAAGGTGGTGCGTTCATTAGTTGAGAGTATAAATACATAAAACCTTCAAAGTAAAAAAAAAAAGTTTTTGTTTATAAAACAATTATCGCTAAGCCTTTTTCTCAAAATCATTACAAAACATCGTTTTTGGCTATTCAGGCGTTTATTACGACTAAATAATCGGTGAAAAACACCTATTGGATTACTTGTCCTCTACTTCATTTGGCTCAAATAAGCGCCACAGTGACACAGAATACTATTTAGGTGTACGCTAAGTATAAAGAAAACATAGTTGTTAATTTTTCATGATTTACTCAAACAAGCCAATCTTTTCACAATTTTAGTGAAAGCTTCCACTATCTTCAGGCACTTCCGCAGTAAATCCTAGAGCGATACCTTAAGAACCCGATTCATGCGGACCGTCCAAAGGGGGATCGAAGAGTTAGTGTAGACGCGGCGTTAACTACCCAGCAGTACCAAAAAGTGATCGTCGATCGGCCGTCGGTTGGCCAGTATCTGGACAGCTTGGCCACTGGCAAGTTCTTAACCTCCGGAGACATAAACAAGGTCGGCAAGAGTCCGGCCACAAACTAGCCGTTTTCAGCTTGGACGCCGGAGACATAAACACTGCCGGCAAGCAGACTTGCAAGTAATCTGTTACAAGTAACGCAATTAGGTACTTGTAATTCCTTGCATTTATGAGTAATTTTGTAAGGAAATATTTACATATGTTACAAAGCAATTCTAAAGTAATTTCGTTACTTATTTAAGTTAGAGAATGATTTTTATCCGTTACATTTTCGTTTTTATTTCCGTAAAACGAAGCGGGAATATAAAACACTAACAACAAAAAAATCATTTCTAGAAAAAAAACATTTTGTTTTCTAAGGGTAAGTTTTACTGGAATCACACTGCCAACTAGTGTTTCGGCATACAGAGTAGACATTTAAAGAGTAAATTATCTGACTTCGTTTCCCTCAGTTCAAACATAGCACTTAGCCCGGGCCATGGTAACGGAGTTGCCATCTTGCGCGAAAAGTGAGTGGAAGATGGCCGGCAAATTCCTTCGAGCGGCAGCAGAAAGTTGCCTTCTGAACGAATGTCTCTTTCCATTGAGACGGCAGCTCCTTCAGGGTGCAGCGACGGTGATCTTAGCAGCTTCTATACAAGGACTGCACCAAAGACGCTTAGGGGTTCCGCGCAGTGATTATCTCGCTCCTTTTGGGCCCGGTCCTGAGAACATTGAAAATGTCTTCTCGAGGAGATCGGCGCGGCTCTGTTTGTATACCAACACGGCCGGAAAGCCGCGTATGTGCAGAAGCTATGTGGACAAAAGCGGCCAGGCTCTCCGTGTTTTCGCCATTGCGTTGTGTGGCGTGCGCTCGTTGTTGACGTTGTAGAGACGCTTCTATATTTACGTGTGCGTCGTATTTCCTGTCAACGTATGTTGTATCTTATGCCCGACTATTTGAGCTCGCTACCCGAGCCTGAACGGCAGCGGTATCGAGATAAACTGTGCGTGGACGGCGTTGCCTTAGACGATCCATACGCCGAACACAAGGACTGCTGGAGTTCCTACGTGAAGTTGCTGCCACCGACGTCGATGGCTCACGTCCTCGTTTATCTGGTTTTTTCGCCAAGCCAGTTCAGGGCCGACACGGTACAGGCGTACAGGTCTCTCGAGGCCTACAATTACTTCGAGCCGCTTTCCGCGCTGCCGCCTGGATCAGCACAGTAGATCACCAGACTGCGGGTCTGCGGAAGTGTATTTATTAATTGACTAAATACACACACCGTCCTTCAAGTCACGGTATGATATTTTTCTTACCCGCGTGACCACAAGGCAGGGCAAGTGGTAAAGCTCTTTCCGTTCTGCCGCCGGCCTCCTTCCGCATGGTAGCACGGAAGCAGTGTTGTAGGCGTTACCGAAAAAAAGTAACGAAATACGTTACTCGTTACTTGCAAATAAAAAAAGCGTCACCGACCTATGTTACCTCAAAATAAAAGGAGTGCGTTACAGTTAGCGATACAAAGTAACGCACGTTAATTTTGCATTACTTTTTTATTTATAAATCGACAATAACGGTGTTTGTTTGTTTGTTTGTTTCTTAACGACAGCGTTTTTGACTGTGGAACAAAGGGCGTGGGTGTTGGGGCTTTTCTGAAGTGGGACTTTTTGCATGAGGAAAACACAAGCGAAATTTTGAAGGTAGGTGGAATATAGTGCAATAATTAATGCCTTGGCGCTAATAGTTTGTTTCAGCTTAAGTTAATACGCAACCGAAGCTACGAGCTCGTGGGATCAATCAAGGAGCGTCAAAAGAGCGAGTCACTGGGACTTTCTTGTTCGTGATTGGTTCAGCGATGATATATATATATATATATATATATATATATATATATATATATATATATATATATATATATATATATATATATAAACACGTACAGAAACATGACGAACACCATAATGGCGCCCGCTCTCTGATTGGCCCCATCAGCTCGTATGTCTGGGCTGAAGGTAAAACAAAGCATGAAAGCACGAAAACAAGGTACTTTCTTCATGTGTTGGGGAGAATATGTAACGAGTGACGCAACTACGTTACGCGTTATTCGTTACTGTTTTAAAACTTAACGAGTACGCTACGTTCCACAAAGAAAAGTAACACATTACCAGTAACGTGTTGCTGCCAACACATGGTAGCGAGCCATCGACGAGCGCTTGGCCGGAGCTTTGTGCGCGTACACCGTAGGTACAAAATCTGAGTGATTGCGGTGAGATGACGGTTTCCCTGGACATGAGCAAGCCTCGGGACAGAGATTGAAATGGAAGCCACACTTGCCTTCAAGAAAGTGCTTGCCGCACAAACGGTCGTCCTCGCGAGGCAACCATTCCTTTCGATCCACGGATATTATCCACCTTCTATGCGTTTCAGTCAGCCGAGAACTTGTGAAACCTCACTCCGCTACTTTTTCTGTACCTTTTGGTGCAATTAACGGCTACACAACTTTGCGGCATGCTGAAAAGCTCTCACGCCCATGCAAAACGCGCGCCCTTCTGCCCACACCACCCGGCTCCGGAGCGATCGCAGCGCCGCCGCAGCTCCGTGATGTCAAGCCCGCGTGTCGGTCTACGTATCTATAGCTTTGTTGGGGTTTCTTCGCCACTTTTACGCAGTGTACAGTATAAAAATTATTTTGTTTTCAAACAATCATGCGGTCATTTTTCATCAAAAGTAACGAGTAACGGGGGGCGTAATTTGATAGGCAATAACGCAAAATAATAACGACATTACTCGTTAGACATTTGGGATTCTAACGAGTACGTTAGTATACGTTAGTCGAAAAACAAGCGCGTTACCAGTAACGTCGTTACTTGTAACGCGTTCGTCCTAACACTGCTGAAGATAAGTCTTTGTGAGCGCGCCCCCCTTTTGGCCTTGAAGGAGATGCCATTGTCCTACTCCTTCTCTCTTTTTCCCTCTCTCCCTAAGCTGAAAGCGTGGAAGAAGGTGAGCACTCGCCGGACCAATCAACCGGATACTTTTTTATCACCTGACTCCGCTCTCTGGTCTCGGGCATCGGCAGGAGCCTGATCACGTGGTAAATTTTTCACGAATGACGTAGTAGCTTTTTCCAATCCCGGAATGCCTCCTTCCTGGCCTAGTGTCTTGTGTGCTGTGCTGCGACCTGTGGGGCTGCCGTAGATTTCGTTCGCGACAAAGTTTTCGAAGTGTACCAGGTTTGAAACGTCCTACACGTAAATTGGCAACAAGCGATTGCTTCAAAGAAGCCCAAGGTATTCTTGTGAGGCATCTAGTGTTCGGTTCGGCAAATGACTGCTTCTGCCACATTGTGTTGAATCTTCACGGACGCCTTTTTTCTCGTTTTTCTCTTTGAGTGGTGATTCTGCAGTGGATTCCATTCTTTCAGAGCAGAATACAGTCTCATGTATTCGTCGATTACAATGCCCCTATCAACGGTCTGTTTGGAGCGATGCATAAAGTTATTATAATGTACGCTAGAAATTCAACTGGCGCTAGTGTGCTGCGGCAAATTGATGCAGAAAGCAACCAGTCGGAAATTGACTTCCTGTAATGCATTTCTATGGAAAAATGCGAGTGCTTTTTTCCCTGCGATTGATTATAAGAGTAAATATCACGAAAAATTCGAGCGTACTAGTCAAATTGGAACATTTCTCAGTCACGGAGATGAAATAATTGGTCAGTTATGCCGTTTTTATTTTAAATTCGTGGCATGGAAAACGGCGCTAAACGTACTTCGTACATGTATTTATGTGCACTGTCGGGCACTGTTAGCGCGAACACGGCGTTGGCGCTTTTCAGCATTGGGGATGTACGTGCCAAACGA